ATTCCTATTAGAACAAAAGAAGAAGCCAGGTAACAATGCAGTTCACGTACTATGCAGTACAAGCACTGTTTAAAAATATTCAAGCCAATATTAAAGATTATGTGATTAAGTGGCTTATCTGGTAGATTGGCTATATTTGGATTAATGATATCTAATTTATAGATGGCTTAAAAAATTCTGTATTATTCAATGTTTTAATTGTTGAGATTTTAATTTCCTATTTTGTTAACTTTTTTATTCATTAATCGACAGTATTAATTGTTAATATGTAAATCTCAGCTTTTGGTATCAATTTGTAATCTTTTTACTTTTAATTAAAGTGATCTTATTTTCTTGAAATAATAAAATAGTTTTATTTAAGGCACATTAATTTTAACAGTTATAAAATAATGCTAAAGAAAATCACCTAAAATACCCATTATAAATTGATATTTAATTTTAAATCCTTCACTGAAGGGGGTAAAAAACCCAACAACCAAAAAGTTTTGACTGCCAGAAAGTATGCATGTTTCAGAGCTGATGTATAGGCTTAGTACCATGTGCATCTGAGAAATTAATACCACTTTTAGATAGTAAGATACAACATACTAGTAGCTGACCTTTGATCTCAGAAAAACTAAAGATTATTTTTAAGTTAGTCTTTTTAAATCCCCCTCAGTCTTTTATGCTGATGTAACTCACAACTCCAAACATTTTGATTGCCCAGCAAATATTGAAGCCAAAGTAGAAAAAGAAATGCTATTTCACCTCTAAATAAAACAAGCAGATGATACCAACGTACAATCGATTCTAACTTCAACTTCGTATGTGCAACTGCCAGTTAGATCATGTGAGCTCTGATTCTTAAAAAAAACCTAAAGAATATTTTCAAAAGGAAGCAGTAAATTTAGTTTGTAATGCTCTTCATTCCTGGGAAACAAAATGCAACCTGAAAAGGGTGAGTTCCACATTTCTATAAAAGATCAAGAACATTGCCTCATATTTGTACTGTCAGTTAACACATATTAACACATACGAAAAATATAAGAATTCATGACTTTCACATACTATAAAAAATCACTGGTCAGACAAAACAGACAATAAAATGTACTAATTGCTGTGACAGAGGCATGAACATGCTTCTCTGAGGAGAATTTGGGAGGAAGGTAATCCCCAAATAACGTGATGAGGGACTAAGGACCTAAACTTTAATAAAATAGGAAGATCACACCTACGCTACAGTATGTTTTTTCTTATGATAATGTCATTTTAAAATAATGCTTTCTCAGGATCTCTGAAAGAGTATGTTTTAAAAGGACATAGTGCTCTTAAAATGCAATCAGGTCATAATCATGGAATCGTTGAAAGAATCTATTCTTTTATTTGCAAACAATGAAAGAAGCATGTATCTGCAACACTATTGTGTAGCAAAAAAAAATACTACCTTAGGAATAGATAAAAATAAATTCTAATTCTCACAATCATTTTCTATATAGCCTATGGAAAATCATATATTGCCTGCGGCAGGTCTGTGGGCTCCGAAAGACTGAGCTTTAATTTGAAGCAGAAACCCTGGGCACTGGCTTTTGCTTTGGCCTTGCCAAAGACTCAGCTGGACATTTTCCATGGTGGGACCAATAGAGAGGGGCCGCAGAGGGAGCCTTCCAACTAATAAACCATCGTGCCACATCACAGCCTCCTGTGTGGAGGTCCTTGCAATGCTATCCTCATGATCCCGTGAAAGAGCCTGATTTCCACCAACACCATTTCGCTCTAAACCGAAAGATTCTCAGCTGCAAAAGCCAAGCCTTGTGTATAGTTTTAACCCCAAAGCTAAGCACTCAGAAAACATTTAATTGGGCACTCAAAAACATTTATTTGATAGATGATGATTGACTCAGTAGATGAAATACCAACAACAAAGGGCTGGTGATGATGGCCGTCATCTATTTAATATTAAATTTTTTAAAAAATGTTTTAAAAGAAAAAATCTATTTTGGCATATTGACACTTTATCATTGTATTAATTTCAACATCCTCCATAAATACACACAAACACACAAACATACAGGCACACATGTACAAATATGCCAAGTTAAAATACAAAGTCCATTATATTCAAAATTTCCTAATTTTTACAGGGGTAATGCTGACTTAAATTACTGATTGATTCAAAATCTAAAATGGGTGAAATACAAGCTCTTCCTTAAAAGAACAAACCTACTCTGCCAATGAGGAGGAGAGACTGGATAAGAATCTTTAAATTATTTTCAACAAGTGTTTCTATGAAGCCAAACTTCCATTAAACAAAACTATCATTAAGATTGGACAAACTCAGCTTTTATAAGAGAACAGGATTTTCAAATTAAGTTAATTTTTAATCTCTAGTCATTTTATGGTGATTTTTTTTCACTATTTTTAAATAATTGCAATAAATTATACCCTATAGTTACCATTGGGAAAAAAATTGCTAAAGTACATCTTCCTTCTTGCTAACCAAGATCATCTGAGCTACTCAAATAATCTTGAATATACAGACAACTTCTGGCACAGGAAATAAGTGACAAAGAAACTGTTGGGTAATTCTAGCAAAGAGCACTAGTTTGAGCAAACGTAACAAAACAATTCTTTATAATCCAAAGAGCCATGCTTTAAAAGCTCCCAGTGTTCCCTGAGAAACATTCACAGTCAATTAAAAAACAGCCATGTTATGTTATAAGAGATAATGGGAAAGGAATTTCCTGTCATAATGGGTGAGATGAGGCAACAAAAACAACCAAATAGGCACTGCTTGACAGAACAATAAAAATAAAACAACCTTGCATTTTTTAAATGCTACATATATTCTGATTGCATGAATTCTCATTGTCCCAGTTTTGTAATGGAGTTTAACTACTTTGAAAAATTTTCTGATGCATAGAGGGAACATTTTCCAGGCATCCAAATCTTTTTCAAATACAGAAATTATTATACTTCTCAAAAAAAAAAAAAAAATCAGTCTTTACCACTGCGATCTGTCATTTACTTGAGAATGGATAAAACTTATTAGACTTGAGTAACAAATGTTTAAAAAAAATCCAAATATATCTGATTAACTGTAGTAACTGGTCTTTGTGCATTTTACTCTTTTCAATTGAATACTACATATTCAAGTGCTTGCTATACTGTGGTTTGTCTGCGTAAAGGGCAAATCCTGTCTTTGAGTTATTACTGACAGTCTCCATTCCCAGGATGTAGGACAGAAAGTCCACAATTGATACAGGTGAATTGAAGCTGAGACCAATGCCAATTTTCTGACTGTCAGTCCACCTGTTCCATCACAGGACTAAAATGCGCAAGATTGTTAGGAACTGAAAGGACATACCAATTGAGCCCTGAAACTGAGTGTCTAGTTCAGTGATTTGCTGTAATCAATCAGAAAGAAGGTTAGTGTCCTTGTACGTATTGCAGTCACCTCAGTTAACCTCAGGTTGGCATTTACTTTTAAAAGCAACTTAGTTGATACTTAATTTATATACCATAGAATTCACTCATTTAAAATATACAATTCCATGTTCTTTAGAATAATTACAAAGCTGTACAATGATCACTATAATCTAATTACATTTATGTAGACACATTCTTCACCCTTGAAGAGACCTATGACTCTTACCTGATGGAAGAACAAAAAAAACAAGGGGAAAAAAAGAAGGAAAAAGGAAAGAAGAGGCAGAGGAAAGGAGGAAGGAAGAAAAGCTGCATACAAAGAATTTCATTTTAAAGAGTAAAGACAATGTTTGCAAAATTGAAAAACACTGGAAAGATATATTCAGTAAAATTTTAAATGTATATTTCCTCACGTTTAAAAGTGAGGAAAGATATAAGATGATTATATCTTTCTTTCCTTTGCATTATTAATTATTATTAATTATTAACTACTCGTTGAATGGGCAAATGATTCCAAGAAAATGGCTTCGTAAATGAACAGTGTTCCCGTAACAGAGCTGAAGCATCTTGGTTTAGTGTTATCCCTCTGCAAACCATGGAATTCAATTTTAACTGAGAATAGCTAGACTTATTCCATATTACCCCAAGAAATTTTTAAATAATAAAAGTATTTTTCTTTCATTTTTACTGTAATACTCAGTTTCAGGAATCAATAGGTATGTCCTTTCAGTTATTAACAACCTATGCTTTTCAGTCCTGTGATGGAAGAGACAGACTGACAATCAAAAAAATTGCATCTGTTGCAGCTTTAATTTACCTAGGTTTATCTGCTTCTTCTTTTCAAAGGGTATATTCCAATTCTTCTGTTCTTTTCTTCTCCAATTGTCAACATCTTTTTCTCTGTCAATTCTTCATTGACAAAGGATTTGGACAGATGCTAACGTTTCCTCCAAACTTAGCTTTTCTTTGAAATTTGCTAGGGCAGCAGAATAAGTTATATTCTCACATTATCAAGGGACTCTTCAAAAAGCCAACTCCCAGGAATTATCATTAAACTTTTCAGTATCTGGGCTACATTTCACAGACAGATATATACAGCCCTGCAGTTTTTTGAGATAAAGTTGTTTTATTACTTAGAGGAAATAGATTTTATCAGACATCATTCTAGCTAGTCCTGAGACATTGAAACCATAGTAGGCTTCACATTATAATCTTTTTTTTCTAAGTCCCCGAAATGTGCCCTTTCCTCTTATCTGTGAAATACAGTTTCTTTAGATTTACTCCTATTCTATCAAAGACTCCAAAGGACTATATGGAAAAAAATTCTCAAGACTAATCTACAATAAGGAATTTTAGTTATTTGTAAACTAATTCTGGAATTGCGAAATGACATGGATCCTTGCTTAGAATTCTTAAATAATGCTAAAAGTCATCTTTCTTCATTCCGACATTTTAAGACATTACTGTGGACATAACATTATTCCATAAAACTAGGTTATAATTTGTTACAAAGGAGTTGAAAGAAACCCTCGGATACCATCTAATTACTCTGTTATAATCCTGTTTTATAATTTTATTATTTGCTTTTTTCTTTTCAGGGGAGAGCATGAACGCAGACTCTTACTGCCACAAATTACGCAGCCAAGGTTCCCACATTTGGGGAAATCGTGGGGGTCAGCACATCCAGAGTGCAATGAGTGAATAAGCCTCACCCTGGGAAAACCACCTTCGTGATCATGGTGTCTCCCCTGCCAGGTAAATATCTGTTTGATAATTTTAAAATTGTCATGCAAATTAATTCCACTGAAGAGATTATAAATGACTCTAATTATGTAAAGTTTGTTTTTTGAAGAGACCAGGACTATTTTTGTCTTTGTCTGTGATTTTAAAATGTACATAGACTTAGTAATATGGAAATTGAAATTATCAAATATTACTTTAGAATAGAACAAAATTATAAGCCCCTGACATATTGCAAAAACTCAGGTTAATGATTAATGGTGTTGAGTTCTCAGAGGAATTGCTGAGCTCAAATGTACTGAGCTTTTCCAGCTTTCACATTGAATTCTCTGGGACGGCAAGCATCTTATCTTTAAAATACTTCACTTAGTTTTTACTAAATTAAGCTCTAAAAAACTCACAAATTATTTTTTTCGGTGAAGATTATCTGTTACGATCTTGATTGCCTACTGGCTAGAATCATACTAGTAAGTCAAAAATTGTTACACAGAACTATTTCAATTAAAAGTATAATTATGCAGTTTCATTGTATAGAAAATGGCAAAGATTTCAGTAAATTAGACACATAATAAAAACTAGTCATTAACCAGAAGCATATAAAAATCAATCAACAATTCTAAACACATTCCTTTAAAACACTAATGTTATTTTAATGCATTAAAATAAACTTAGTGTTTAACAAGCAATTGAAATTAGAATATCTCTCAAAAAATACAAAAATCCATTTGTATAATGCCATTTTTCCCAAGCAGTTGTTTTAACATTTAGTCATAATTAGTACATTTTTTTAAAAAATTATACACTTCTCTTATTTACAGAAGGTGTCAAAAGACTTGAAAATCCAAAATCTACATAAAAGGGAAAAACGTTTCTCATAAAAGAAGCCATCTTTATTTTTATTTATTTTGGGGGGGTGGGGGTACATGGACCTGCAATGAGCAAACTTGTGCAAAATTTTTAGTGTTTGCCTTGGATGTTACACATATTGTTTAGTTTTTAATTCACACTCTAAATCCAAAGGAGGTGCTCATAAATCAGAAACTTGGACAGGTCTCCTCCTATAAAGTCTTTCAAAAGTACTTAATTTAAGCCCACTTCGGGGTGCTACCCTAATTCAGAGTAAGGCAATAGGGAGTACCTGGTCAATTGTGTTTCCTGAATATTTTTGCCAGAGTCTTCTTTATTATGTCTTTCCTGTAGACTGAGGTTTTGAAGATGCATATAGTTTCCATTGAATCGATAGTGCCTGTCCTGCCTTCTGGGAGATTTCTGAAGTGAATGATGGTCCCTTGCCATCTTGAATGCTGTGAGAAAATGCAACCTTAGGGATTATTTCTTTAAGTAGAAGTTCTGATACCTCAGTTGCCATCTCAGTTCTAGTGGAGTATGTCTCCACTCATCCAGAAAAAAAAGGTCCATAAAAACTAATAAAAATTTTAAAAGTTTCCTCTGGTTTTAGACATCTGTGTAAAGTCAACTTGCCAGTTTTTAAATGGGCATATCCTTTTATATTGTACTTTCTTTCCTATTGAGGCATGTTTTGTCACAGGAATGTTTTTGGCATATATCTCACAGGCCTGAATAATCCTCTGGATCAGGGATGTCCAACCTGTGGCCCTCCAGAAAGAAGCCATCTTTAAAAGCAGTTAACAAAGGTATTTTTTAGTCATTCAGTCCCTTATTTAAACAAGATTTACTTAGAATTTATATTGTGGCTGATATTATGAATGAACAAAACTGAATTAACCTAGGCTCTGATGAAGTTTACATACTATCAGGAAAGACATTAGATAAAAATAATAATAATAATTGCACAGGTAATGAGAAGTGAAAAAAAGATATACAGGGTGCTCTGGTAGCATATTAAAAAAGGACCTTAACCAGTATGAAAATATCAAAGGGAGTTTTTCTGAGGAAGTACTGTTTCATCTAGAGCTTGAAAGATGTAAGTGAAGTTTACCAAGCAAAAGGAACATTAGGTATAAAGATCTGAAGGTGTGAAAACATGGCATTCAAAGAATTGAGAATAGACTGAGAAAGATGAAGAATGGAGCGACGGAGGAGAAAAAACAGACACAGCTGAAAAAGAGATAAGACCACAACAAAACCTGTAGGGTCTGTTAAGCCTTGTGATGGGAAACAACTGAAGTTGGCCGGGAGATATTAAATCTGCATGTAAATATGCATATTAATTTATCCATATTTTTGAAATGCATACCAGAAGAATTAAAATGCTGTTATTGTAGTTCAGGCAAATATGATGGTAGAGAAAGAAAAGGCTGTTCCTGAGAAAGGAAAAAACGTTGAGTGCATTATATTTAAGAGGTTAATGGACAAGATTTAGTGTCTAAAAGTACAGGGGTAAAAAGGCTGACAAAATGATCGCACAATTTTGTTTCTAGCAGCAGTGTGAGGCCCAGGTGGATCTGGAAGACTGGACTGGCTTCTAGGAAACAGATGCAGGTTTTCCAGTCAAAGAAATGCTTCTTACCTGACTGTATAGTTTCAGATTAATTGTTAAGTCAACCTTACTGATAAGGAGATCAAGTCTCATAAAAACTGAAAGATGACTGGAAACCTATCCAAAGATGCCAAAGGGAAGGATAAAAGCCATAATGCTTTTGCATTTAAATGTAGAATTGGACTAATCATCAGTAAAAACAAAGAACTGCTATAAAATATTTATTACAGATGAAAAGGAATGATGAAACATTTATCTGGGTTTTGCCAAATCTCCATCATTTCCTTATAAAATTGGTCTACATATATCCTGTTCCAACAATATGGTATCACTGCAGAGGAAAGATAAATGATAATCAAGGAGAACTCAAAAACAGGTAGAAAATGGAAATAATCTGCAATTATAAACCTGAATAAAAATACTATTACAACAATTTGTATGTATGAAATATTTAAACATCAAAGCATCAGGCAGCTCTTAACTATAGTTTTTATCTGTTAGGTGGTTGAAGGGAGAATACATATTATTCTGAGACAAAAAGAAAACCCCTCAGGAGGAAAATGTTTCCTAGTACTGTCTTGCAGTATTGAAGGAGAATCATTCAATCATGCAAATTAACATCTTGCACATAAATTGATGTTCTGTCTCAAACCCAGCAGCAATTCTATAATTCCAGTCAGAAATCCCCTGACTTGAGTTGGCACAGAAAATTCATAGAAAATACTCTAATACATAGTTGTAGACCTATCAGCTGAAAACGTTATCAGTAACTACAGGCAGTAAAGAAGCCCCGTCTTTGGTGTAGCCAACATTTGAACACGACTGGCTAATTCTATAAAAATAACAGGAGCAGTTGACACAATGTAATCAATAAAATGGCTGAGGATACAGAAAGATTATGCTTAAGGTACTGGTGTATGAGTAACCTCTCAGAGAGACCCCCAGCTGCACCCTTAACATAAGAGCTCTGACAACATGAAGAGACCAACCCACTATGAGGAGGCATGGACAAGTGTGGAACTTTGAGGTGTACAGGAAGATGATCAAGCACTTGAAGAGGGAAATGGAGTTGGACAGAACCAAGATGGGGAGAATGATCTAGCTGTCCTTGTCTATGGGTGGAAATAAGAAGGGACTGACAGCTAAATCTTCAGCTACAGGTAGAGGTGAAACTTAACTTTCACACAGTCAATGCTTCTGAACACTGTTCATGAACACCTTACAGGGGCTTTCTTGTTCTGAATATATTCTTTCGTACTTGAATGGGGATTTCAAGCTATAAAATGGCACCATCTGAAGGTCAACAATTTCTACAAGTTGGTTAGATTTGCCCACAGAGCAATAATTGCAATTAATTTGATGATTTGATTGTGTTTTTTCATTGTTTTATTTTTATAAATAATGCAAAACACTGAAAAGGAAGGTTCTTTAAGAAAAAAGTGTTCCTTAATTCTAGGTCATGAACTTGAGAAGGATGCAATGATGCTCTTATAACTCCGGAGGGGTAAGGGTTTCATACTGAATCCACGCTGCCTAGAACATTGCCAGGCATGTGCTTGCTGTTTGGTAAATATTTGCAAAACAAAGGAATGAATGAATGAATAAATATAATCTCAGATCAGGACTAGGCAGCACAGGTCCACACAAAAACCAATAATTTCAGGAACTCATAGCATCTATGTAAGGGGACTGGAACAATGCCTTCGAATGCCAGTAGCTACGGTCCAACACCTGAAGGCTTGAGGCAGGAAAAAAGAATCAAGACATAGTATAGAGAGAAGCCAGCTCTTCCAGACTACATTCTTACGCATCTCATATTTTTCTGAAAACATAACTAATATTCATCATTAATAACATTTATTAAGAAACACTGTGGACAAAAAAATGACCAATTTTCAGTCAGAAGGTCTGAGCTGAAAACTGTGTCTTCAGTGTTATGTTTGCTAAATGTATTTGGGCAAGTTGCTCAATCCTCTGAACCTCAGTTTTCTCATTTGCACAATGAGAAGATTAAGTTTCTTATACAGTGAGTCATTTTTAAGAAAAAAATGAGTTACTGAGTACATGTGAAAGTAGCAGTTACACCAGTGTTATAGACAAAGCAAGCACTAAATAAGTAGGGGTTTCAAAGATGTTAAATAGTACATATTATTGTCCTTATTTCTGCATCATACCAAATTGTACCTACTTGTTACCGAAAAAGTTTGTGTACTACCAAAAACACTGATGAACTAGTAATTCTACACTCTGGAAAAAACAAATCTGAAAAATTCCAGGTTTCCTCAGCATTGTAATTACCACTATTGTAAGTAGAGGAAGGAATTGATCAAGACCTCTTCAACACTAACTTAACTGGTTTATTTGTAATGGAATATTAGGAGCATGACTAAGAATCTGTTAGGCTTCAGACTAACATGTTAAATAACCAAATAACATCATATCTAGGTTTGGAAAAGGATGCAGCTGGTGTTTAAAAAAAAAAAAAACAAAAACAAAAACTAGTTGAACATATTTTGTTACTATTTGAAAACTTCCAAAGGTCAGGGAATAGAAAACTATTCT